GTCAGCAGCGCTCCGCCAGCACTATACACAGTGCAGGTAGAGCACCGCTTTCCCCTCCTGAGACGTCTGACGGTTTGCCAGAATCCGTTTGTTTAACTTTTAAACCTATTTTCTGCATATTCCAGCATATAAGATTTGAAGTTACATTTTTCACTGTAGAAAGAAGTTTGTGTACGGTGGACACTAATGTTTTTATCACTTTTTACGCAATAAACCGTAAAGTACTATAAGTCCGTCCACATTTTTAATGCTGCATGGTCGTACTCTCTCCTGCACTCCATATTATCCATTGTTGATCTGCACACGTCTGTTGCTGCCACGGACGTCGCACACTCGAACGTCATTATCATTAGACGCTCTCACGAACAAAATCACGGTTTAGTAACGTAGCGTGCTTATAGGAAAGTAACAGTAATCTAATTTATTTTGCAATAGTAATCCATAACATTAATTGTTACTTGAAAAAAGTAATCAGATTACAGTTAATTGTAAAACGTTACTGCCCATCTCTGCTCATGAGATAATGTTAAGTTTGGGTTACATTTCCACTCAGGCCTTCTGTGTTAGTTGTCGTGTGTTTCTTGTCTGCGTGTTTCATGCTGTCAAGCCTGAGTTGTCATGTCTGCGTCTCTCAGTGTTTCCTGTTTTATTTTGAAGAGTCAGGTGTCTCTTGTTTTACTTCCCCTGCGGTGTCATTATGTTGATTTGTGTCAGCTGTGTCCCCAGGTCTTTCCACTTTCCCTGATCACCTCCTGTGTGTATTTAGTCTGTGTGGTCCATTCAGTCTTTGTCAGGTCGTCTGTTTTCTTCCCTTCATGTCAAGTTTCAGGTCATTCGTGATTCTGTTCAGGTTGTGCTCAAGTTTCGTGTTCGTGTTTATTCGTCATATTCATGTTTTTGTCACAGTCATCAAAAATTCTATTTTTTTTCCAGTTTAGGTTTTAGTTTAGTTTTCGCCCTGCTTCGCCTTTTGCTTTTTTTTGTATTCATGCTAATCAGCCTCAATAAACGGCTCTGCTTTGTTTGCTTTGTTTAAACTTGTGTTTTGTCTCCCTCCGTGTCCTGCGTCTTGGTCCAGATGACATGACCCGACTTTGCCGTGTCATTCATGAAGAACAAAATAACTCTGGGCACGGCACTGACATCCAGCACCTATAAACAGTGTTACTCCTTCTGATTTTTATTTAATGCTTCATAAACAGGAAGCAATCATTTTGAGGAAAATGCAACTGCAATATATAAAATCAAAGGTTCATTTATCCATATAATGAATGGTTAAAGAAAAGCGCTTGATATAAACTGAATGCAAACCAGTCAATTCCATTAAATCTAACATTTTACAGTGTACTCATGTAACTCATAGGAAGATTTACATGTGATCCTATTACTTAAAGTAAGTCTTTGAGTATGTGGGCACTTTGGGGGCTCAGTATCCTTCATATGGAGTCCACTGTCAAAGCTGATGCAAGTTTCTAAGTATCTATCTTTTAAGCTACTGTAATACAAGACATTAAGTGACAAATGGAAGGAAAAATGAGGACGAATTATGCTTTCAGAAACACTGACAACTCCCAGATGAATGAATTAACAAATGTTACCCAACCACAGCTGAATTTACTGGGTGCTATGCTAGTAGATGAAACGCTGAAGGACAGATGGAGGAGAAGCCGGAGCGAGGGATCATATGCAGCAGCTGAATAAGAGGACGGACAGCAGAGGGAGCTCACCTGTTGTTCGGCCTCTTCCTCGTCGCTGCTGATCTTCAGGTCATCCTCCAACATTCTGCACAGAGACACAGAGACACGTGTTATTGCGGCCGTGACCTCCTGTCTGCTTGCATTAGTTCGATTATGGCAAGTTGTGATCTGCGATTCCCTTTCAAGAGCCTTTTTTTTGGTCAACGGATTAATTACACAGCAAAAAAAAGCAGCGAGCTGGTGGTTCATGTTGGGGAATGAGGAAGCGGACATTCACAGCTAAAAACCTACCAGATGTTCAGCTTTTAGAGCTCAGGGATTGTTTTTTCACCTGGAAACTTTCTGTCTGACAACTGCTGACCTACGGCCAAGAATTTCTTGGAAACAAAAGAGGAGGTGCTCGGCAGACACGGGCCCTTCATCACGATTGCACGCTGATTTTTTAAAGAGGTTTCTAATTGGAAAAAGAACCTGGTCGCTGCCCTGTTTCTCCTATTCTCGTGTTTGCTTTGCTCTCCCCGTGCGAGAGATCAACTGCTAACAATACAGCTCCAATGAAAGAGATATATAAGGCACAGTCGATAACATGACCTCCCTCACAGCATCACCTGCTCCTTACCACACAAATTATTCAGTATTTATGTGCTGTGGATTGGCAAGTTCCCATGTTTTATTGCTTTATATAAACCCTCCACACAAACTACTGTTATTTTAAGCTTGCACTGCTATTGTTATGACAGGAGAATCCCCTAAAGGGATTTTTACTGCCTCACGAACCACTCTTGTCAGTGCTTGCACCGCTAAAAAATACTCCCCAGTGTTGTGGTGTTTTCAGATGGGGCTGTATGAGTCGTGAATAACCGAAGCACAATAAGAAAAAGCTTTGCAGATAAGGGGCACGGCGCTGCACACGGCGATGATAGATATGTTTGAATGAATGAATAATGGATTCATATTTTATTTCATAAGAAGGGACAGATGGAGAGAGAGAGATAGTGAGTGAGATGGAGATGATAATGATGGGGAAGTGAAGGGGAGCGAGTGGTGGTGGCAGCGACTGAAAGAGAGGGAGATGCAGGCTGAATAGAGAGAGAGGGAGAGAGAGCGAGGAAGGGAAGCATGGCAGGGAAATGAATAAAATGCACAAGAGAGAATAAGGAGGACAGACGCACTCAAGATATAAATGAGTTATGGACTAAAGCATCCATGACATGCAGAGCTTAGAAAGCAGAACATCACATTTCTACTAGGTGCAAATGCTCTTAATTGCCTTTATAAAATTGAGTCCTTTTATTGGTAAAAGTTCAGCGCTACCAGAGCTTCATCACTCGAGGAGGAGCCACAATCAAAGCCACGCTAAGCTAATTACTCAATACTTCCACATGTGCATCTGCTCACCCTGCAAATCTAAATGTACACACGGTTGCCTGGACACTCGTCTCCCTGGAGCACAGCGTAGCGCTCAGCAGATAAAGAGCCACAGTTTTCCCTCCGGAGACCAAAACAGTGCGTAAAGTGGAAGTTGGATGGAGTGGACGGATAACGGTACGCTAACGTGTTCATCGTCTTAGCATAAGTTCACTGTCAGAGTTAAGATTATGTCTTCTTCATCACATTCGCAAGACTTTCAGAAAACTTGACCTCTGACCTGGAGGTCGAGGTCCCTGAGATTCAAAATCTGAGGTTTATACAGCTGATCACTGAAACTGTAAACTAATTTGGGTCATAGTTTGTTGTCTTTTAAGCAAAACATTAGCTGTGAATGATTAACACCGTGATTACTTACTGTACATGGTAGAAAAAAAATCTCTACCACGTAATGCAACAACACCTGCTTCATTTTAGCTTTAAGCTACTTCCTGTATCAGGTTTAGATTTATGAATTCATTTTTTTGCATTTTCTATCTGATCGAGTTTCTTCTTTGGTATAATCTTTTATCTTTCTGAACTATTTTGTTTTCTGATATTGATATTAGATATGTTTTTAATCTTGTTTTTCATGTTTTGACTGCGATAAAGTATTTCTTATTATTATTATTAATAACTGCATTTTAAAAACAAATGTTGAGGAAAGTTTTGGCAGGCTGCTATTTTAGACTTTACCTGCGTAGTAATACCACCACCTGGACCCCAGTTTTATGGTTAATGATTGCTGGACACCAAAGGTAGCACTTTTCCAATGATAATGTAGGGGTTTGTGTTCTACCTGTAAGGAAACTGGTAATGATTTTTGCTGTAAACTTATCTAACTGGCATTTTTGGCACTTCAGAGTTCCTCCTCCTATTTGGGATTCTTCAAGTGGTTTGTTTATCCTTTCTAATGTCTCTGGCTTTGTAAAGCTGAAATGACAAGCTTTCATTAGCTCTCGCTAACTAGCTAGCTAGCTTAGCTCAAAATGTATTTGGCAAAATGGCTAAAGTTAGCATAAGTGGGGTTCAACTGTGTCTGTGACTTATTTTTTAAGTGTCAGACAACTTTACTTAAAGTGTACTGCAGTAAAAAGTCTTTAAGCGTTTTTTAGCATTATATTTTATTTTATACAAAGCGCTTTTTGTTGACAAATGCACCCTAACCAAGGTGGTCAAAGGAGCTTTCAAAGAAAAGCGTCTGGACTTCTTTAAGTTGCTTGAAGACGTTTCACCTCTCATCCAAGAAGCCTCTTCAGTTCTAAGGTCAAATGGCGGAGACTCCCAGATTTAAACCCAGTGGGAGTTTCCCCCCAAAGAGGGACAAAGGACCCACTGATGTTCCTCTAATCACATCAGCCAAGGTGTGAAAACGGGTGTGGGTCTCAATCAGCCAGGGTTTCGGGTGAGAGATCATGGGGTTCTTTGTCCCTCTTAAGGGGGAAACTCCCACTGGGTTTAAATCTGGGAGTCTCCGCCATTTGACCTTAGAACTGAAGAAGCTTCTTGGATGAGAGGTGAAACGTCTTCAAACAACTTAAAGAAGTCCAGACGCTTTTCTTTGAAAGCTCCTTTGACTACAATGACCTGGATGACTGAGAACCTTCACAGACACTAACCAAGGTGTTATCTGTGTTTCTGAGCCAGCAAAGCTCAAAAACTGGTTCACTAAAGGAGGCTTTTTCATGCATTTGCCTAAATGAATATCATGTGATTGGATCACAGTGTCACAAAACTTCTTACTTACTGCGCTATCGACTATAATGAAACAGCAGAATTCACTGTGTTTTTCTTATTGGGCATTAAGGTACTGAGCCTGGAGAAGGATTACAGCTGGATGAGTTTTCTGTAAAGCCAGACATAGTAAACATTCAGCAAAGAATATAGCAATTAGCCTAAACAGCTCATTTACTGTTGAATAAGACGAGGTAGGCCTATTCATTATCGAGAACATTTTACGCCTGTTGAGCATCACAGTGAAAACAGAGAATGGCCTAATGGCAGCAGTAAACTAGGCATTGTTTTTAACCAATAACAATTATTTCACCCTAATAAACAAAGCAGCATTTATGTTTGAATACAAGATTGGGGAAAAAATTGCACTGTGGGGTATACATGAGTAATCAACAGGAAAGGGCTTATCAGCTTTGAAAGCTTAGCATAAAATGGCACAGAAAGCACTGCAGCTCCCACAGACTTCATCCTAATGGAGATATAATTAACTATTTAACTGCATATCTAAAGTGAAGGAAATGAGAACTTACATTTTGACCTGGGACTTTAATCAAACCATCCAGCTGAATTACCGCTAACTTACAAGACTGCCTTGACTTTTTCTTAAGTTGCAGGATTTTTGCATCATCTCCTACCCATCAAGTCTTTTTTAGGAGAGTGCTTTTTGACGCCATCCTCACCAAATACTCTCTAACCCTTAAATGAGGTTTTTAATAAAGTGTATAAATAATGCATCATACTTGACACTTAAAAACTCTCATTAGATGTAGTAACACGAGAGTTGTACTACTTTATATGATATGGTGTGACAGCAGATCAAAATCCTCTTCCTTAGATACTGAAATATCTTTAACAAGGAGACTAGTGTGTGCAGGACAGCAACCATTAAAGACAGCAACAGGTCAGCACGGTCGCAGACCTGGTCCCTGACTTCAAAGCCACCATTTCAAAGGCTACGAGACAGCGAGCACACTGTTGCAATAATTTTATTTGTGGCTCAGTCTTCAAACACTGTTTTTCCAGGTGTTACAGTAGCACTGCAGAGATTAGACTTTTAGGGAATAGGACAGAAAAAATATGGGTCATAATATTATCATCTTTGGCACTACAGAGTTCCTCCTCCTATTTGGGATTTTTCAAGTGGTTTGTTTATCCTTTCCAATATCTCTGGCTTTGTAAAGCTGAAATGACAAGCTTTCATTAGCTCTCGCTAACTAATTAGCTAGCTAGCTTAGCTCAAAATGTATTTGGCAAAATGGCTAAAGTTAGCATAAGTGGGGTTCAACTGTGTCTGTGATTATTTTTAAGTGTTAGACAACTTTATTTAAAGTGTACTGCAGTAAAAAGTGTTGAAAAAACTACAAACATTCCACAGCTTTGTTCTTTGTTCTGCAAAAAGCAGCTTGCTATATTGTTACAGCATTATACTGTATATAATAAAGACTTATTTAAAAAGAAATTTCTGTGTAATTAAACAGTTTTTGGCTGCTGATAAACTTTACATGCAAGCTATTTTAAAGAATTATGAGACCCTGATATGAATAAGCAAATGAGAAGAGATGGATACATATATAGACGGAGTTTAATTTTAACTTGTTTAATTAGTTAAGAAACAACTTTCAGGATAAAGTCTAAGTATATTTAGCAGATGTATTGCTGACTCATTTACTGACCACCCCTTCTTCTCAACATTTACTAGGTTGCCAGTTAGTGTCGTTTTCCATGATTGAAAGAACAATGGAGAGGATGGAGAGGCAGGTAAGGTGGTAGTTGGTATACAAGTCACATGACTTCTGACTCCTATCTGGTTACACAGTTTTCAGACTTTCTTATGTGTCACTTTTCAGTTTGAGTTAGGGAAACCGCTGCTATTTGCAACAAGCTTCTCCACCAATTTCTTGACACAATTTCAGACATGGAATAGCCAGTAACACAGCAGAGAGGTCCAGCTTAATGACTCAAAGCAACAGATGAGCAGGTGCTAGCAAGTGGATGAGTTATTAAAAAAAATCATATAATCACAGCTGATATGACAGGGGAAAAACTCTCCATAGAAGTCAAAACCATCTTTGTACGCAGCTGTAAATATGTTGGACATTTTAACATGGGAGTCTGTGGGGACTTACATGTATCTGGAGCCAACCTCAAGCAGCACCTAGTGGAACTGCAGTTTTTGCCATCTGGGGCACCTTTCAAGCCTTTCAAAGCGTCAGTCATAAAAGGGGAAAAAGTCACCCCGTATGTAGTTGTCATGAAATGAGGAAATTCACTTTCAAGGTTAAAAACTGATTTTTTTTGTACCAGGCTGTAAACATGTCAGTTTCATCTGTGAAGTTGGGGATTGATTTGCCTCTGGAGAGCCTAAAGGGGTGTCTGGAGAAACTGACGTTTTTTACACTTTACGTTAGCTTGATGTTTCATGCCCAGAGGTTAGCGCTTGGCTTGAGATGAGCTGAGAGACGCAGCAGTTTGATCTTACTGACACTGTTAAAATATGAACCTCCTCAAATCCACATCAGGGTAAGTTGGGTTAAGTTACCACTGCAGGAGCTAAGCTGGCTAGCTAGCGTAATGACACTCAGTTTTATCCTTCCTTTCTCACTTGCTCTTGCGTTTTTGACTCGTTAAGCTCGTTGCGAGCAAATGTGCAGTGCAAACCGGGGTCATAACGCGGCCTTACAAGTCGAGATTTGTGCCTTTCCACTCTCATCCTGCCGTACAGCTCTGTGAGTGATGCGTGGAGTGGGTTGCAGCCAGAGATGTTGCAATATGCTCCTGGCTCACGTTAAATTAATGTAGCTGCACTTTCCCGCTCTGATCCACACAATCTTTTTTTTCTCCTCCTACCACCAGTGAATTTCATCCAAGAGTCAAGTTTAATTTTACCTTGAGGCAAACGCAGCAGAAGCAGCAGCAGCAGGTCAGAAATTCTCAGTTTCTCTGTGTGTGTGTGTGTCAGAGAAAAAGAGAGAGATATACTCACGACTTCTGCGGTGCAGTTGGTGGTTTAGCAGCAGGCTTGTTAGCTGATACAGTACATCGCTCTGCAACACAACAGAGGACATTCAATCACTGTATCACAGTTTTGCATGTGTCAAGACTTGTGTCTGTGTGTGTTGATTAGTGTTTGACAGGAAGCCAAACTCACATCACTGTAGACCAGCAGTACTGTCACATTGGAAAATATGACACTCTGTTCCAGTGTGTATCTGTTTGCTTTGGTAACAGGATTGTGGGGTAAAAACAGTAAGTAAATGTCCTTTTGCAATAAAAGTCAAACTGAAACACTCTGACAAAAACGAGGAGATTATTTATTTTCCAAGTGGATATACAGAGGAGTCTGTGAACAGAATCCATTTTGCTGTATTTCATATTCCAGTCAGTCGTATTTCTTCTTTTCTTACACAGAGAGGAAAAACCTGCCAGTGGGGAAATGCTTGAGCTTTATATACGGCACAAATAACTCAAAACACTACAAGATGGATTTAACAAAGAGCAACAACCTCAGAAAAGCTTTTCATGATCTGATCAACCCTGGGAGTCGGAAATACTGTAAGGTACTATATGCAGTACTAGGTGAAGTTAGCATAGAGTCCTGTGAAAAAGGAAAGTTTCCACAGGACTGTGAATAACTAAATGCATCCCATGATTCAGTAGCTTGTAGAACCACCTTTTCCACCTTTTGCAGCAATAACCTGAAGTAATCGCTTTTTGTATGACTTTATCAACCTGTGGCAAAACAGTTTTTCCTCTCTGCTTGATAGTATGTTAAAAACGGATGCAATGGATGACCAGCTAGACTCAACTATGGAGCTTTTTGACAGTGGTATGGCGTGTTGCTTTATTCTGACTGATTCATAATGACCTATTTTGTGGTTTCAGAGGTGTCTCAACCGATGGAAGAACACACACACAAACACAGGAGCCCAGAGGCCACCGGTGAAATAGAAAACTGTATTTAAGGTGTTTTTCAACCTCTAACACCATCACCATTAACCAGACGTGTTATCTGTAAATATGCGGTATATCCATAAGGTCTTAGGAATCAAAGCTTTTTACACCTGGTTCTGATATGCAATCTGCATTTGGACGCATTATCTACATAATCACATCTGATTGTTAGCATTAACACCTTGTTTTAATTATTGTCTCATTATCTCAAATCAGCCTGGAATGTGATCAGATAAAATGGTAAATGGCCTGTATTTGTATAGCGCTTTATACTAGTTCCTATGGACCCCAAAGCGCTTTACACATCCAGTCATCCACCCCTTCACACATTGTAGCCACAGCCACCCTGGGGTGCACTGACAGAGGCGAGGCTGCCGGACACTGGCGCCACTGGGCCCTCTGACCACTACCAGTAGGCAACGGGTGAAGTGTCTTGCCCAAGGACACAACGACTGAGACTGTCCAAGCCGAGGCTCGAAACAGCAACCTTCCAATTACAAGGCGAACTCCCAACTCTTGAGCCACAATCGCCCCAGATCTAGATATGTAAATTACTCCGGCCCACCTGGCTGACTTATCAACAATTTAATCCATTACTGTGTGCAACTTCCACCACCAACACAGGTTTTTAGATATCTAATTGTATAAACATCTTTATAGGGGCCTGTTATTCTTATTTCCAGCTCTGTATTTTTCTTCCTAAATCATACTAGAGGATTCACATGATTCACAGTTTAAAATAAGCCATATTTATGTTATACAACAGCCTGATTGCCCAGGTCCCACAGGTTGGTTAGCAGCCAACTGACAACCACCTCTCGCTAGGGGACCTCCGTATTCCCCAGACGGTTGTGAGTGGATGTTGAAGGTTGCTGGCAGTTGCTGTGGAGGATCTGGGAGCAGCACAGTCTTCTCACAGTGCCTGATTTAAGCGAGTGACATCCAGCAACCACTTGCCAATCACTTACAGAATACCAGTGGTTGCCAGGGGGGTTGTCAACATGTTTGTGTCACTGAGCTCACTGGCTAAAAGAATGACCTTAACTTAAAACATCTTTCTTCTGACTGGCTCAGTCACTCATTTGAGAAATGAATGACAAAGCAGCAGGTGGGTGGGGCTTCTGTTTTGTTAGCTAGAGCTGTGCTATGACCATATAAGGCCATCCCTGCTTCCTGACATCACACAGAGCCAATAATAGGGGGAAAAAACCTCAAACTCAGCATTTAAAGTGAGTCTGAAGAGCTTTTAAAGCAGCGTGATTGTTTGTGCATATGTTGACCTCACTATCTAAACTTCGGTTGAGGTTAACATCAATCCTCTAACAGTATTTATATGACAGAAAACGCAGGAGATCATACAACTGCTGCCGTGTGGACGCATTTTCAAGAGAGAGCTACTTTTTAAATGTTATGCATGAATTAATATACACTGTGACAGAACCTTTTACCCTCATTAATCTACTCTAATGTGATGCTGTCAGTTCAAACACAAGCCCCCGATTTCCACTCATCACGTAATCACGTTTGTCTGATTACTTGTTCAGATGAACCCAGGAAGTTAAAAGCAAAGGTTTTTCCGACTACCCTCCTCCCGTGGCAATGATTTCATTTCAACGTCAGCTGCCTTTCTCACATTCCTCCTGGGTGGCGTTGCCTTTAATGGCCTCGGCAGCATTAATTATCGCAGAGCTCATATGTGAGTGTTTACGCTGGGAAAACTTACTCTGGGTGTTGTAGCCCGAGGTCACATGCTGTGACTCCTAGAGAGCGGGAGAGAAGGAAAGAGAAAGCCAGAGGGAGACGAGTTGAATGAATAAACCAACAGATGTCATTATTGATTTCACAGCAGCACAAGGATGCCATTACACAGAATTCAGAGCCTCTCATCTCCCTGCGTTGACGCTCCTCCTCATTCTTAAAACTCACTGTGACGCAGGATTAGTGTGAGGCTGGAGGCTGAAGGCGCCACAACAGTCCTTCCTAATTCATTAAGTACTCAGTCAGACTTACTGCCTCTGTGTTTACATTCCTACTTCACCTCACACCAACACCAATGAGGCACTTTGCATATTAAGAGTAATTCATAAAAGCATGAGGCAAAAAAAATCAGTCTGCTGTTTCAGGGAGAATTGTTATCGTCACCTCAGAGATAAATGTTCAATACAGCATTGCTGCTTCTTTTAATGTGACAAATCTTCTAGATATTTATATTACAAGGCGTCGTAAATCTTCCCTTTTTTGTAGCGGCGGGTGAAACTTTGAACATCGATCTTCTGAAATCTTCAGTCTGCTTTTATTGTGCCTGAACGTCACTTTTCAAACATGACAGACAAACAGTGCAGGTGAGGATACAGAGTTATTTTGCTGATGACATTTCTGTAGGTGATCTTTGTTTCCTTGACTCTTCAGCTGTGGCTGTTATCACTGTTCCTGTTAAATACACACTCAGTTTTCTTGTTTTTGATGAACGATTAAACGATAAAGTGGAAAAGCGTTCAACTTGAAGTAGTTTTTATCTTATTTATTTATTTCTAAAGTCTAAGTGATCTGCAGATCCTCAACTTTTTTCTTTTTTTATTCGATGGATGAATTTGTTCTGTTGATTACAGGCTGGCTGTGTTGAGCTCTGAGAGATAATTGAACTGGTGAGTCAAACACAGAGGACGCCGTTGGTGCTTATTAGCGGTGTTCACCTGCGGTCCTCTGCTTCACAAAGTAAGGAAGACCACGCCGTGTCAGCGGTGGAACAAAGTCTTTTCAGACTGTTTTGCCCTTTTCCTGACTGAGCGATTAAACATGTTAAGGGACAGTAAGAATAGACGGTAATAGCTAAGTTAATAAGAAAGTATTTTGTTGCCAAGTGAATAACTTTGCATTAAACTGTCAGTAAGTTTAATTCCAGTGATTAGGTGGAAACTTTGAAATTCGCCTGATTTGCTGACGTTACTTGAAAATACTTTTTTATTACTGCCGCCAACGAGGTGATGATTTTGGTAGACTTTGGGTTTCAGTCTGTCTGTAAATATGATATCTCCAAAACTTTTGAATTAATTATGATAAAACTTTGTAGGGGTGCAGAGCGGGGTCACGTTAGCAATCCATTAAAATTTGCCTTTCATCCACAACTTGTGCATCAACTTAATGATTTATTGGTAAAAATCTGACAAAAAGCCGAACAAAATGAGAAACTATGATTCTTACAATTTATACCAACAACAACCAAAGGTGTTGTTTAACATGTGGAAACCTTTTTTTTAAAATTATGGCTGATCTGACAACTTGATAGATGATTTTAAATATAAATAAATAAATAAGTATCCCTACTTTTAAGATTAGGCTTCAAACTTTCCTTTTTGATAAAGTATATAGTTAGGGCTGGACCAGGTGACCCTGAATCCTCCCTTAGTTATGCTGCAACAGGTGTAGGCTGCTGGGGGATTCCCATGATGCACTGGGAGTTTCCCCTTTACTCACTATGTGTTAATAGACCTTAACACAGTAATTTCATTGGCTGTCATTTGTGCCACTGTGCAGAATGAGCCAACAGTAATGTGATTCTATCCCAGCATCACTGCTGCAGTAAATTTGTGAATCAGAGCTAATGAGCAGACTGAAGATTTTCAGTGACAGACTGCAGTTAGTGTTACTGCGCCCCTCCAATAAGTGTCACAGTATAAGTAAAGGTTTTTCACGACTGCATCGCATCTTTTTCCACCGCTCGCTGACTCACGCTTAAAGTGAAAATGATCAAGGCCCAAGAACATGATAACAACTTTGAAGGAAGCATGCATCAGCAGGCGTGTCATTCAGAGAGAATGTACACTATTACGGATTAATGTGAGCCACTTTGAATTTAGTGATGAAAGGTTTTGGGTGTAGTAGAAGAAAAAGCATACTAACCTTGTTTGGGATGGGAAATTTGGTCTGATCAGCTTTCCCAGGAGTGTGTATGGCTGTTAGTGGAGGAGGCCAGGAATGGGTCATCTCCTGAACACACAAACAAATTTTTAAATATATTATTTTAAACAGATATTCATAAGTAGCAGAATTTCTGTCATTATAATCAGCTAAATAAAGGATACACAGCTTGCACTTGTGTTGCCTTTACCTGGTGTCTAATCATGATAAAGTTTAGCCCATTGGAACAAAGGGGCTTGCTTATGCAACATCTTTGGTGCAGTGGAGTGGAGTCAGCATTCAGTCAAGGTTGTGCTGCACCAGCACCCAATCAGGGTGGGTTCAGTATAAGTTTTAGTATAAACTGGAAGGCGCTTAGGGAGTTAGTGACCCACCAGGGATTGGTGCAAATGCAGAGTTGGTGATTTACCAAAATAAAAGCTGACTCCAGTCGGCTGCATTTCAACAGAGCTGCACAAGGCAGCAGCAGAAGCAGCAGCATCCCCTTTCAATTATTCTAATCACACCGTTTTCTCAGCTGAATTCCAATCTCAGTATGTAGAAGCATCAATTAGTTAACAAGATAAACATATGTGCATGAGTGGGTGGGTGTGCTGGAGCTTTATAATCTGTTAGGTACTGGCTGTTTTTATTTCTCACAAACATTGGAAAGGAGGCACATAGAAGGCTGAATATGGAAAATTACCAAATAGATTTTCTTAAAGCTTTGATTCCCTCCTTGATGTCCTTTGTAACCACCATCACCTGAAAACTGAATTCTTGGTAAATGTGTTTTAATGACCAATAACTTCTTTTTCTGTGACATGTGTTTAAAATGGTTGGTAAAGTCATTAAATCCATTTTTTTACATGCTCATTTCCACTCACACAGCCACCGTGCAGCAGGTCACGATGTCAAAGGGCCAGAATTTTCCCATCATCCATCTCTTCACCCCCCCTTGGTAGATGAATGCTATTCATCAGATGACACATGAGTCTGGGAGGACGTATGTGTGTGGGTAAGGTTGTGTGTATAACTGAGCTACACATTAATGACGATACTTGAGCATGAGTGTGTGGCTGTGTTTTCCCTCTTTATAATCGTAACGCACTTGGCCTGACGACATATGGTGTGTTGCTAGGTAACCGCTCTCTGACATCATTAACATCATTGAGTCCATCCTTGAAGAGTTCCTGTGCTTTCACAGACAGGACAGCTGTTTTCTCCTGAATTTGTGTTTGCATGTGTCTGTAAATGTGATATTGCAGCCACTGCGCGTGAGTTACTCAGTCTGTCATAGTTAAACGCAAATGGTTTCCCAGTTATTATCAATTTGTCATATTCTCCATTATCTACATCTATTACGCCCCGACACAGACATGCAAAATGTACATTTATCCACCACCGTGCACTGAAAACACGACCGACCTCGCTCTCTCCTTTCGCTCCTTCTCTGTTTTTTAATAAAGAAGCAGAACAGGGCACGCTGCGTGCTCCGTGTTAGATGGATAATGTGGTGTGCTTCACATCACCAGCTGTTTCTCTCTTTTGCCTTTTTTTCTCTTCCCATCTTTCTGTTAATCTTTCAAGTTATTCTTAAATTCATCATTCCAAAGAGCCTCTTTTAGATGTTTTCTGGCAAACATTTTCTAATCTGACATTTTTATTCTTCGGTGTAACCAAAGGTTTGCAACTTGGTATAAATCTTTTAAATTTCCATTCATGAAGGCGTCTCTTGATTGAAGACTTTATGCATGTACCTCCTTGTTAATATCACTTTTGTTTTCTGTGGTCTTTCAGGCCTTTTGCTGTCGATGAGCTACTCTGCCCTTCTTTTTAAGAACATATTATATATACACATATCAATTGATTTTTCCCAAGTTTTCTCTAATTGGTTACCTCATTCCAAGGTAAAGCTAGCTAGCTAGCGTCTGACTCATAGTACACATGTAACAATATAGATATGGTAGGAACATAGAGGGTAAATGCAGCCATTAAATGTAAAAATGTAATTATCTACATACACATATATCATCATAATCATGGCTTCTTGATATTAGTTTACTTTTCTAATTGGCTAGGTTTAGGTTAATGTTAAAATCAGACAGCTCAAATATCCAGTCTTTAAGTCTGACGTCATTAGCCGTTTCCGGGTCCAAACTCCGCTTCAGGTCCCAAAGTCAAACGAACACTGGCGCAACACTGAGAGTTACAAACTGTCCAAATTCTTTCATCTGTAATAAAATGATCAGCGTTCTGCTCTACCAGGTGTAACAATTAAGTTCAACATCCAGGTATCCATGAAAACAGAATTTATTAAATTTAACCAAGTTTGAAGTTAGCTCGCTAGTTTCTCCCTAAACATGATGTTCTGACAGAGGAATTTCCAAAGAAATGAAGACGTACAGCTCTGGTATCACTTCCAACATAAATGAAGACAGAAAACTAAACAGCAGTGACGTTTGTAGGGTTACTGAAGTTTGGCTAGCTGGTATATAATGATGTGCTACGTGGTGGCTAGCTACACAGCTATGTTAGCATAATATAAACACATTAGCACTTTTTTCCACTGATAAAAGTTAAGGTGAGGGTTCCCGATGGTTAGGGACAAATGCAATCATTATACAATTCATTTAAACATTTTAATGGCAGGAACAGCTGGTTTGCCTACAGTCCCCTTTTGGCTCATTAATGATGTATTTTTAGATAATGCTTCTTGTTTATAGTGAACTTACCATAAGCTAAAACATTAGCATGGATATCATAGAGCTTGGTGCTCCAGTGGTTCAAACACTGTAAAAAGTCAATACCCCTCAGAAGGATTGACTCTACTGTACAATATCTCTGATGCACACCGTTACCTTGAATTGTGCAAACATCCACGACAACAATGTTCCTGTGACAAACATCTTGTAGCCGTGTCATTACAGAGAGAGAAAAATGAAGTGCAGGCCCCGTGCTCCGATTCACCTCACCTCACATTTTGAACTCCTTGATCTTTCCACTTGACACAGCTAAAAACCACAGACTGAATTCAATAGAGCACCAATATTATCGACAAAGGCATTTCATGCAGCTCACAGCAGCCTATCTGTCACACAGCCTGTTGACCAGCCTATTGATTTGTGGAGGGGGAGGAGAGGGAGGGGGCTGAATGACAGAGAGGAATGAAGAGGGAGGAAGACAGACACTGAGGGAGAAAGAGAGGGCGCACCAAGTGCAAGAGAGGAGAGACGGCGAGAAGTGAAAGCGGTAACTTGACATAAAGAAGTCAAAGACGGTCCCCGTCCTAATCTTCTGACTGGCAGTGAGGGAAGATTAGCGAGGGAAACATTTTTGTTTTGACATCACTCCCAGGAAGAGACAGGAGAGAGAAACTGTGGGAAAATGTATTGCTGTGTGATTTTGATTACATGCAGCTAGAAAGGAGGAAGAAAGAACGGTTAAAGGAGATGATAGGTCTGTGGAAAAGATGTCTGTATGATGTCATCCAAATAAAAGGACTTGTGTAATCATTGACCTAAGCCAACAGATTGCTTTCTCTTCTCCCTCCCTGCCTTGTAGTCCCCTTTCTTTTCCCTGTCCTTCCTTTGCAAAATCAGACTCTGGAGAGGGACCAAGCTCCTTGTGAACAAACAGAAAACAGCTGATAATCAGTGCAATTACTGTGCATGCGTGTGTGTTTGTGTGTGTACCCAAGCAACGTACCCGCAGAATCTCTTCAACACAGCTGGAGTCGTTTGGTAGGCTGACCTGGAGAAAACAAAGGAAGACAGAGAGATTGACTTCAGCACTATTTATAGCGACATTACATTGCACGGGACACAGCGGGGGTACAGAGGTTTAAGCACCAAAAACAAATAAAGCGGATCCATCCACAGCGCAATTACGAATCGCCGCAGACTTACACGGCACATGCTACAATGACACCTGTGGCCGATTTACCATTCAAACTCAACGAGAAGGACTTCTGAAACAATAGCTCACTGATTTCACAAAGATGTAAACAAACAATGCATTCTCATTTCTAGCTGCTGTTGGTTTTTTTTAATTGTTTTGATTTTATTGTTAGTTAGTCAATTTAGCTAACATTTTGAAAATCATTTATCCTCACTGGTTAATGCAATATTACTCTTGCAGGGTTATACGTTGCCATCATTTCTCCCCACGACCTTCAGTACTGTACATAATGTTTGTACTGTAGTGAAAATTCTTTGTTATCATTATCCTGTATCGTTTTCACTGCAGCTTCTTCAGCGCTCTGTAAATTGTTAGAAAATGATTATTCTTGGTTGACAAAGTGTAAGAGTGCTCTGATGGATTGATGTTTTCAGATTATTTGATCAGCAGCAGCTGGCGGCTGCTTTACCTCAGAAGCAGTAAGGGTCACACGCTGCTTCATTTTTGATTGTCGACTCAGTAATAATGGTGCAATATGTCATACACTGGTGTTCATGTGAGGGTCAATGAAGTTTTTTTGTTTTTTAAAAAAAAAAAAGTGTCCTGATATATAAAACTACAGTAACAAAACACCAGAATATAGAAAAGCATTGCAAAGGACACAAAAACAACACAGCAGTGTTTTTGGGGGAGACAATAACAGGATGGAGCAGCTGTGGAAGTGACAGAAAACTAAACATGTGAAGGACTAACATGGTGCAGGGTAGTGTATGTTTTAATCACATGATTTATATAACACGGTAGGTGCATGTTTGTTAGCTGTTTAGCTGTTATCGTGTCACTTCTGCAGCTGTTCCCTGTCATTACTGCGAGTAACACTTGTAACATTTTTCTGTGTGTGTTTCTATTTGCTGGTGTTTTCTTAAATTGCAATGTGTTTGACCTTTTGAGACTGCCTGTCGCTCACATGGTAGCTCAGGTCACCTACTAACTGGAAGGTTGGTGGTTTGATCCCAGTCTTCTCCAGTCTCCATGCCAAATATCATTGGGCAAGATGCTGACCCCATGTTGCTCTTGTGTGAATGAGGCAAGTTGTGTAAAGTGCTTTGAGTGCTCAGATAAGTGTCAGTCTCACAGTGAAAATAAAACCTTAACATCTCCTGTTTTATGAGGTTTCCTCAAATTGGTAAATTCCTAATTTAGTGAATGTTTGAGTCCACTGAATACAAACATCTTGACTCTAAGGCAGAGAGTGGGGTATAGCTGAGTGGATGGTGGATGAGAAGGCAGATGGTGTGACACAATTCCACAGTTCTACTTTTAGAAAATGAGTTTATAAGAATGTGTCTATTTTATTGTAGGCAGTTATGTGGCCCTGTTCACAGTGAGTGCTTTGTTTTTATACCTTCTTCATTTTAATGTAACTAATACGAGGCATTTAAAATCCATCCTAACTTTCCATTAACAGTGTGAGTCTAAAGGGGATTTGGTATGTGGGTGGTTCAGGTGTTAAAACCTAAAATCAGGAAACACATGAATTAAAGAGCTGTTGTCAGATTTCCAGGTGATCATTTGGGTATTGTCCAAACAGCACTTGTGCTATAGATTTTTAAAGAGCTGTTGACAGCACAAGTCTAGCTACCACTGAGTTTTAATATTTGCAAACTCACCCCAGTGCATAGAATTTATGACTCTTGGCATTCATAAAGTCTAGAGGCCAACCTGTGAGCCAAAACATTATTGTACATATGCACTAGGCTGCAAAAGAGCAAAATGAGACCCCAGAGACAGAAAAGGTTTTAGCTAAAACGCTAGGCAAGATCAAATTTAGAATTTTATCAAAAGCAAGATGTTTGAGTCTTGCTGCAGCAGAGGAAACAACACAGAAGGACTCCGAGTACAGCCTTAGTTTCCAGCGTGTGAACTGGTATGCAGCTTTGGTATGTATGTAATCAAGCTGGTTAATTATGTTCTTTTTGGTCTTGGATGGAAAAATCAGTCATTAGCGTATTTGGCTAACAACCTTGCTACTTATGTTTGAAATCAACATTTTTAAACTATTTGTTCTTTTTGTAAGTACATATTTTTGAAATAAAATTAGAGTAGACACCATAAACAGACTTTTTAACTTCCAAGAAGGGCTTTTATGATTGTATACAAATGCCTTCAGTGTCTGGTTATGGTTCAATCGGTTTCAAAACATTCATACTTTTCAGAGCATTCATTTAAAATTCTCTCATTACAGATGTAATTTTCAATGAGTCTTAATAAAGTCAAACCATTTGTGCACCGTTTGTCTAAAACAATGTGATGCACTGTAGTCGTCCACCCTCCTTGTTATGAGCGACTAACTTGTGCAGAGGGTAGAGAAAAGATGTTTTGAAAAATTAGTTATTTCAGTTTTAAAATTCAAAAACAGCCATTAAATAGCTGTGGTTTGGCCTGCATCGTGTGAACCACGGGGCCATTTTAGCTCCACAAGTCACTGGACTGCTTTGAGGTTTGAGGATAAAGAAAGAGGCTGTTTGAGCTTAGACATACGCACACTCTGATTAACCAGTTCAGTGGCTGCGCGCTGCTAATCTATGTTAACATGCGCCCTTGTCAATAAAGTCGTCCTTTGTTAACAGGAGTCATCTGCACTGAGCACTAAAGCAACATTGCAGCAGATGCCTGGGATATCACTGCAGACAGGTCTGGCATTTCAGAACGCTCCTAAAAACCTAAATAAAGTATTTGTGCCAAACCACACACAAACATTTCTGAAGCTAGAAGTCTTTGCTTTTTCAGATAAGCCAGCCCTACTAAGAAGTTTTTTCCCTGCTCATTCCAAACAAATTATTATTGTCGCTTTTGGAAAAACACAACTTTGTTTGCTAAAAAAGACACAAGAAAAAAAAATGTCCACTGCCAAATTATTGGCTCACAAACAGTAATTGAAAAGAAAATCTGTCTGGGTCAGATCAGTCCAGCAGACGGGCTCATTAAAGCAGAAAGAGTGTGAGGAACAGCAAGATGAAGGCAGAAAGACTGAAAAGCTCAGAAACTCTGAGGCAAATTCACTGCAGAGCTCTAACATATTACATCAACATAACCTCTGTTACACACCATTACTAATAGCACTAACACGAAACGAGGAGCAATTTAGTATAACCGTGATGAGAAGGATGACATCATACTCTGCCTTAAATCACTGACTGTTAAAACAACAAAAGGGACTCTGGGCCGACAGGCTGGTTGAGCTCACCAACGAAGTATCCGCTTATTTGTATGTTTTCTAGACATGAGCTGTTCATCTACATCGACATGTTAATTCAACAGTGAGTCAAGAGGAAACCAGAGTGGGAGGATGAAGATGTGTTTTTCCCCCAACAAAAGTCCCAAGGCCACTTTTTACTAAAAGAAATCTTACAGACTTCTAGACAATATGAAGCAGATGTGCTACATTTGTATCATGCGATAAAAAGCCAACAGCTGGATTATTTAGCTAATGAAACAACGTCATTACCATCAGAAGGCAAGCACACGAGGTCTTGATTTACTGTAGATTACAAAGTGGACACGAGATTTCACTCACAGTGCAACAAACCTGAAGCATCAACATGTCTTGAAATTCTCCAGGGACCCGGCAACAAACTAATTATTTGACCCAGGGTGATATCTGGCCTGGAGTTGGACAGCCCTGGTCTAGGCCACACACAGGATGGACGCCTTGCAACTACGTGAAATTGCACTGAAATTTTTTGCATTCTGCAACTGATTGCAAATAGTTGTGACTGCTTTAGATTGCAAGGCCTTTGCACTGGTTACCTGACGGGAGGTAGAAAAATCGAATTTTTAAATGCAGACAGATTGTCAGCATGCGGCACTCAATGTGAGTGAGTCTATGCCAATGAGCAACTCATCTGCCACATGACTCGACTCAACTGGCTGCCAAATGTTTGTATGTTGGTTATGTTCATATAAAAGCAAGGTTGCTGAGGATACTCAATGTTTAATTAACTTTAAACACTGAGAATTTGTTTTTCTAAATATTTAAACATGCAATTTTGTCTTCAATCAGTCCTTAGGGAAATATCTGCTTCTCTAGCTTGCAAATGCCCAATTTATGTCCAAATGACAGTTTGTGTTCTTCAGTGAGCTTCAGGTAACGTACAGATGGTTGATTAGAGCTGATTGCCAGCCAAAAGTTGCAAACTGCAACGTGGAAATGAAGCTCATTAGATTTGTGAAAGCGAACCAAGAGAGTAATGTCGAGGGTTTCAAAGTTCAGAAAACGAGCTGGAAAACACTAAAACACTTTGCAGAGATGAGAGGAAAAGCACAGTGACTGATAACTGTCAGCATTAATGACCCCTTTTTTTGGTGTTATTATAAAAATAGTATACTCAGAGTGTAATGCAGTAATGGTAGCATAGGTTGAATTTGTTTAATGACTCAAAAAGAATTGCCAGCAAAAAGAACCAAAACAAAAACATGGAAAGAAAACAAAGAAAAAGACGGCTGGTTAAAAGAAAGAAAATCTGATAGTTTAGGAAGAATTGATTTAACCACAGTTTTACTTTGCTGTTCAAGATCAGTGGTGTGTTTAGTGTGACAGTACCTGGCTTCCCATATGGAAAACAACTAGGAAAAACTTATAAAAGACTTGCATCAGCTTTAGCTTGCTTCATATAGAGGATCATACAAGGCTTATATGATTTACTCATGAAAGTGGCCACTTTTTCATTACTTTCATATATTGTTTTAGTAAGTATCCAAAACATGCAAGTTTCATTTATATAATCTTTCAAGGGATCTTATATCTGTTTTGGCTCTTGTGTGCTTTTCATACAAGTTTCACACAAGACAGA